ATTTTGCAAGACTGAAAATATTTATGACAGCACATCTTCTGTTTATCTTTATGAATTTACAGACTCAACCATTGGTCAATGAGAACCAAACAAATGTTGATGAGGCCATGAAAAAAATGATTGTTGTTTTCCACTTATCCCACCAGATCTGTTTTTACCCTGTGAGTCAACTATGTTTTTTTTAAAGATTGGTGAGCTTAAACTAGGTTTAAAACTAAACCTTCTCCCCTGTTTACAGTCTACACCAAATGAGATAAAACCATCCACAGTGAAAACTACTGACAAATTCTCTTGACTTAAGAAAGACACATGCACTAGGGATTTTGAGCGTTCATGCATCTCCCTTGTCTACCAGGAAACTTAAAATAGGTGCATTCTATATAAACTCACCATAGCTGTTCTGGACTTGATAAACCAATCAAATCTGAATTGTGGAGCTTGTCTGACAGCTGTTCGTAACTCATCGTAGACATTTTCTTTATCGAATCCTAACTTGTGTAACATACATATAAGGAATCGGTCTTCCTCTTCTGTGTAGTTCTTGCCTTTGTTTGTACCATACTGTATCCTGAGTTGATGGAATGGTGCTCTATATCTTGCTAACTGTAGATAGAAATGTTCATTGTGAGATGCATTTACTCTATTACTTTTAATTAGAGTTAGAAATAGTGGTAAAGGGGTTAAGATGATGATTTAATTAACATTGTATGTGTAGTAGGTGTGGATCTAAAATTTTAGAATGCAAATGCTAGGTTATAGTGGATTTCAATGAAAGAGAGTTATGACAACAATGAACAAGTGTACAATTTTTAATGTTGTACTGACTATATCTTTATTGAAAACTTATTTCAAAATCAAGTCAGAATATGGAATGAAGTACTATATTGTCAACACTCAGACCATTATTGTCTACAATTATATATCACAAGAGTGGACACGCTGAAATGTCTCGCCTTCTTTACTAATCATTGATATCATGTTGATAGTCCTAAATATAAGGCTTTATTACAACTGTCACATAAACTTAACATTAACCAAGTAAACTAAACATTGACCAATGAACCATGAAAATGAGGTCAAGGTCAGATGAACCATGCTAGGCAGGCATGTACAGCTAACAATTCTCCCATACAAGAAATATAGTTGACCTATTGCTTATAGTATGAAAAACAGGCCAAAACACAAAAACTTAACACTGAGCAATGAACCTTGAAAATGAGGTCAAGGTAAAAACAAAACCTGCGTGACTGACAAATAGATCATAAAATATTTCCATACACCAAATATAGTTGAACTATTGCATATAGTATAAGAAAAAAAGACCAAAACTCAAAAACTTAACTTTGACCACTGAATCATGAAAATGAGGTCAAGGTCAGATGACACCTGCCAGCTAGACATGTACACCTTACAATCATTCCATACACCAAATATAGTTGAACTATTGCATACAGTATAAGAAAAACAGACCAAAACACAATAAAATGCTTCGCTGGGGCGCAGCTTGATACGACCGCAGAGGTCGAACCCTGAACAGTTGGGGCAAGTATGGACACAACATTCAAGCTTGATACAGCTCTGAATTTGGATTGTTATTAAATATTTGACACAGCATAGGTTTCTGACACAGAAAGAATGTGGTCTAAGAACTTGAATTTTTTTAATTTACCTATTATGGTCCAATGTCCAAAATCAAAATACATGGTTAGATTCAGCATATCAAAGAACCCCATATATTCAATTTTTGTTAAAATCAAACAAAGTTTAATTTTGGACCCCAACTTGGACAAACTTGAAAACTGGGCCCATAATCAAAAATCTAAACACATGTTTAGATTCAGCATATCAAAGAACCCCAAGAATTCAATTTTTGCTAAAATCAAACTAAGTTTAATTTTGGACCCTTTAGACCTTAATGTAGACCAATTTAAAAAACGGGACTTAAAATTAAAAATCTAAATACACGGTTAGATTTGGAATATCAAAGAACCCCAATAATTCAATTTTTGATGAAATCAAACAAAGTTTAATTTTGGACCCTTTTGACCTGAATATGAACAAATTTGATAGCGGGGCCCACAAATAAAAAATCTAAATTCATGGTTAGATTCAGCATATCAAAGAACCCCATATATTCAATTTTTGTTGAAATCAAAAAAAAGTTTAATTTTGGACCCCAACTTGGACCAACTTGAAAACTGGGCCCATAATCAAAAATCTAAACACATGTTTAGATTCAGCATATCAAAGAACCCCAAGAATTCAATTTTTGTTAAAATCAAACTAAGTTTAATTTTGGACCCTTTGGACCTCAATGAAGACGAATTTAAAAAACGGGACCCAAATTAAAAATCTAAAAACACGGTTAGATTCGGCATATCAAACAGTCAGGGGCATTACTTAAATAAGTAACAATTAAAATTACCTATACAAGTAATGTTGAAAACGAGGCTATTTTAAATATTACTTATATAAGTAACTTTTCTGAATATTATTTTTATAGGTGTCTAATTATACAGATTTTAGTAGCTTTAACAAATTTTCACAGTCATCTGGTTATTTTTCCCATGAAATATAAAATATAATCCTTCTGAAACACTAATTAACTTTCTGACGCACTTATCTTTCATACTGACGCTTCTGGGTCAAAGATTAGTCTCATGGGACTATTAAATTATCATTTTCCTCCAAAATCTTGAAGATAGACTGATATAAATAGATAGATACTTGTGATTTAATTAAGACTTGAAGTTATTTATAACTTGTAACCAAAATCAATTACATATGTTCCTTCAATAAGTGTTATTACTATTTTTTTCAAAAATGTATAAAATAACTTATTCAAGTAATATTTTTGTCATTATTTTTAAAGTAACCCTTTATCTCTATACTCCTCTCAAATCTAATAAATTCTTTATTTTATGATATAAAATGATGTAAAAATTCATGAAAACTACATTTAGTCTATGCTTCTATTGAAATTTAAAATAACTCTATTAAGTAATTTTATTATTTTTAAAAACAAAAATTACTTATATAAGTAACTTAAAAAAATAACTTGTTTAAGTAACGCCCCTGACTGATCAAAGAACCCCAATAATTCAATTTTCGATGAAATCAACCAAAGTTTAATTTTGGACCCTTTTGACCTCAATATGAACCAATTTGATAGCGGGGCCTACAAATAAAAAATCTAAATACATGGTTAGATTCAGCATATCAAAGAACCTCATATATTCAATTTTTGTTGAAATCAAACAAAGTTTAATTTTGGACCCCAATTTGGACCAACTTGAAAACTGGGCCCATAATCAAAAATCTAAACACATGTTTAGATTCAGCAAATCAAAGAACCCCAAGAATTCAATTTTTGTCAAAATCAAACTAAGTTTAATTTTGGACCCTTTGGACCTCAATGTAGACCAATTTAAAAAACAGGACCCAAAATTAAAAATCTAAATACACGGTTAGATTTGGAATATCAAAGAACCCCAATAATTCAATTTTAGATGAAATCAAACAAAGTTTAATTTTGGACCCTTTTGACCTCAATATGAACCAATTAGATAACAGGGTCCACAAATAAAAAATCTAAATACATGGTTAGATTCAGCATATCAAAGAACCCCATATATTCAATTTTTGTTGAAATCAAACAAAGTTTAATTTTGGACCCCAATTTGGACCAACTTGAAAACTGGGCCAAAAATCAAAAATCTAAATACATGTTTAGATTCAGCATATCAAAGAACCTCATATATTCAATTTTTGCTAAAATCAAACAAAGTTTAATTTTGGACCCTTTGGACATTAATGTAGACCAATTTGAAAACTGGACCAAAAATTAAAAATCTAAATACACTGTTAGATTCGGCATAACAAATAAATAAATGTGATCAAAGATTTTACAAATCTAATGCGCCATACTGTGCAATTAAAGATTACTTCTTGAAATTTTTCAATATTTGAAATTTGAAAAAAAAAATAATATTTGAAGAATAATTCTTTTTAATTTCTGAAATCTGAAATGAGAAAAAATTGGCCCCCCACAATTTCTTTTTATCTCCCCCCCCCCTTTTTCCCCCCAAAAAATTCTTTCCCTCAAGATATGGTCATAATCTCAATTCAAATTTCCAATGGAGTTGGCAACCATAATTACCCATTTAAATTTACCATAGTGCTAACTTAATCTATTTTATAATAGAATTAATAAAAATATAGTGTCAAATCTTTCATATGGATTTTTTTGTAAAAAAAAAAGATGAAAACATTTGCAGATATTTTTACTGGTCTTCCTTTATAAATATGCATTTCTTTAAACATAATTTAAAAGCAGTGTAAGGGAAGTAACCAAAACGTTGTATTTGGATTACCTCCCTTACACTGTTTTAGATTATCTTTATTGTTCATTAACCATTACTTTATACATAATTTAAAAGCAGTGTAAGGGAGATAATTTCAATGATGTATTTGATTTATCTCCCTTACACTGCTTTAAATTATGTTTTGTACTAAAGTATTTGTCCATTAACCAGGACAACCTTGTTTTTCCCCCTTTTTTGCCCCTTATTCCTAAACGGTTTGAGCCATAACCCCCCAAAGCAAATCCTAACCATCCCTTTGTGGTATGGAAACTTGTAGTATAATTTCAGAGAGATCCATACACCGTTCCACAGTTATTGTCTGGAAACTAGAAAATGCTCATTTTTGGCCCCTTTTTGGCCCCTAATTCCTTAACTGTTGGTACCATAACCCCCAAAATCAATCCCAACCTTCCTTTTGTGGTATTTAACCTTATGGTCAAATTTCAAAAAGATCCATTCACTTAAACTAAAGTTAGAGTGCGAAAACCAATATGTATTCGGATGACGACGCCGGACGACGACGACGACGACGACGACGACGACGCCAACGTCATACCAATATACGACCACAAAACTTTTTTGCGGTCGTATAAAAACTTAACTGTAACCACTGAACCATGAAAATGAGGTCAAGGTCAGATGACACCTGCCAGCTAGACATGTACACCTTACAGTCCTTCCATACACCAAATATAGTAGACCTATTGCATACAGTATAAGAAAAACAGACCAAAACACAAAAACTTAACTATAACCACTGAACCATGAAAATGAGGTCAAGGTCAGATGACACCTGCCAGCTAGACAAGTACACCTTACAGTCCTTCCATTCACCAAATATAGTAGACCTATTGCAAACAGTATAAGAAAAACAGACCAAAACACAAAAACTTAACTATAACCACTGAACCATGAAAATGAGGTCAAGGTCAGATGACACCTGCCAGCTAGACATGTACACCTTACAGTCCTTCCATACACCAAATATAGTAGACCTATTGCATACAGTATAAGAAAAACAGACCAAAACACAAAAACTTAACTATAACCACTGAACCATGAAAATGAGGTCAAGGTCAGATGACACCTGCCAGCTAGACATGTACACCTTACAGTCCTTCCATACACCAAATATAGTAGACCTATTGCATACAGTATAAGAAAAACAGACCAAAACACAAAAACTTAACTATAACCACTGAACCATGAAAATGAGGTCAAGGTCAGATGACACCTGCCAGTTGGACATGTACACCTTACAGTCCTTCCATACACCAAGTATAGAAGACCTATTGCTTATAGTATCTGATATATGGACTTGACCACGAAAACTTAACCTTGTTCACTGATCCATGAAATGAGGTCGAGGTCAGGTGAAAACTGTCTGACGGGCATGAGGACCTTGCAAGGTACGCACATATTAAATATAGTTATCCTATTATTCATAATAAGAGAGAAATTAACATTACAAAAAATCTTAACTTTTTTTTCAAGTAGTCACTGAACCATGAAAATGAGGTCAAGGATATTGGACATGTGACTGATGGAAACTTCGTAACATGAGGCATCCATATACAAAGTATGAAGCATCCAGACCTTCCACCCTCTAAAATATAAAGCTTTTAAGAAGTTAGCTAACGCCGCCGCCGGATCACTATCCCTATGTCGAGCTTTCTGCGACAAAAGTCGCAGGCTCGACAAAAATGAAAAGTTTAATGCATATTTTGAGTGTAATAAATTTCTCTGGACAGTTAAACAGGTTTCTACGATTTTTCCTACTATTAGTCCAGAACAAAAAAATTTAAATTCTCTTTAAATTATGAATTGACTGCAATTTTGATTATGGTCTCTAGACACCCTTGGTATGGCCTGGAATATTGCGTAATCCATAAAAAAAAATTTTATTTAAAAAAAAATTATATTTGTCCACCATTTTGGTTATGGTCTCTAGACACCCTACAGACACAGCCCCATTCTGGTTTACATTCATATATTTACCTTACAATCCAATGCTCTTTTTATACTGATACGTCTCTGTATTTTAGATTCTCCTCTCTCAATCTGCGCCATAATCTTCTCAATATCTTGTAACTCGTTACATCTTTCCCAGAACACTCGGGCATACTCCATTACCTAAAAGAGATAAAGAAGGCGTTAGTCTTACAAGGGCAGCCTACAATCTGTTATTATTAAAATTTTACGTACAAATGTTGGAGTTCATGTTTTGGTATGTAGGTGCATAACTTCCAGTTAGAAACAGCCATTTTTTAAGATACTGTGGATTCATTATTATTCGTTGGATACTACTTTTCATGGATTTCGTGGTTACAGATGGAACCACAAATTTTAATGTTCAATGCATAACAAATTTTCTACAAGGTTGTATGCAGACTTTTGCAAAACCACGAAATCAAATATCCACGAAAATGCATGTTTTCCTCAATCAACAAAAATTGGTACCCACGAAAATAAATGAATCCACAGTAAGTGAGACCTGGACAGCAACAGAAGTAATCCTTGTATGTGGCTTTGGCAATGTATTGCTATACAATGTTACAACAAGTAGAATTTCAGCAACTACTCACTAATTATACCCCCACTTTAAAAATTCTTCTAAACAGGAAGTTGATTGATTGATTGGTGTTCAACGCCACTTTCAACACTATTGTGCTATTTCATGGCAGTCAGTTTTTATTGGTGGAGGAAGCCGGAGTGCCCAGAAAGAACAATCGACCTTCTGTAGGAAAACTGACACTTCTAGTCAATAAAGATTGGAGTCGAATGCACCTGCCCCATGTGGGATTCAAACTCACAACCTCAGTGTTGACTGGCTAGTGATACAGTAGTTCGATGACTTAGATCACTCAGATACTCGGCCACAGAGGCCCCTGAAGAGCAATGGAAAAAATAAGTATGTTCAATTGAAGCCCAACAACAAATTTCAGTGGAGCATTTATATATTACTATTAGGTAAAAAGGGAAGTTGAAGATTGATGAATTCCGAAACTGCATCACATAGTTTAAGAATGTTGACATGAAGCCTGATGGGAAATTTCAGGGAGTTCCTAGTTGTAGTTCCTGAGAAAAATGTTAAAGAGTAGTAAAACAGCATATCCCCTCCTTCAGAGCAAGGGGATAAATATGACAAGTAATTTATATACTGTAAATTCAGAAATTATTATGTGCATCTATTATTGAAATTTTAAGAATGAACAATTTGAGATTAATTATTGCACTTTCAGTAAAAGATACATACAGATAAATGCATAAGGTATCCAAAAAACAAGTTCTTATTGTCTAGATATTCCTGCAGTCACATTTTCTTATCAATAATAAAGTGCTGCACCAAGAGGGCCTGATAAGGCTGTTGCTTTTTCAAAGCATAAAGTTCCACAACTCCTAAACTTCATATCAGAAATTTATAAACAAAAAAACTATAGGGAAGTTATTAAAGTCACCAAAGTTTCATGAAAACTGCTCAAAGCACTTTTGAGTTTTTGTCAGAAAACTGGATAATCCCCACTTTTTTTTAATGTATTCATTTGATCATCAATCTCAAAATGCCAGATCAAAGAAGGATAATTATCCAGCCCTGTAAATTCTTAGTTGAAAATTAAATATCCTACCTCCTCCGCAGTTTTTCCTTCCACATCTCTTGATATACTGTCCAAGTCATCTCTTCCATACTTTTCATTGGCCTTAATAAACTGGTTAAAGTCTCTCTTACTCCAATTAGTAAAGCCCTTCAAAAATTAAAATATATACAGATGAATAAAATTTAAAATACCACATGGAAACGAAATTTTATGAAGTTATGTAAAAGAACTTATTCACTTAGATTGTAAAATTTGGCTTATAATTATTTTTTTCTATTACCTCATTCGAAAATATTATATTTGATTAGTTACTGTAAATTCAGAAATTATTGCGATGTTTTTATTAGTGCGAAAGGGTTATAATCGCAATAATTTAAAATCGCATTTTGAAATTTTTTATATGAATTCAACAGGATTTTTCTCAATATCGCAAAAATAAAAAACGCATTTTAGTCCAAAATGACAAAATCACAATAATAAATGCACGCAATAATTTCTGAATTTACAGTACTATGCATTTATATTTTCAATTTCTTAATGTCCATCAATTCCAGAGTTAGTTGTTAATTTCTGTGTTGTGTGGTCTCTTGTGGAGAGTTGTCTCATTGGCAATCAAACCACGTTGTTTTATTTTTATATTAAACAAAACATTGAAATATCTATTTAGTTTAAGATGATGTTGCAAGTTAGATAATAAATATGTTATTACTATTGTAATTGTGTACAATTTCTAAGTAATATTCAATCAAACATATTTGTTTTTCAAACAGGGAACCAGCCTATGATGGAAACTAAGTTGTTTTATCTAAATTTTTTATTTGACAGTGTTGTTGGATTGTTGTCTCATTGAAATATATCATATGAATATATCGAAAATATTTATAATTAACAAGAATTGTTAAATAATTGCTTGCTATGCAGAATGGACGTTGCTCAAAGTTGAAGACTGAACAGTGACCTATATTTTTTGACATCTACATCATTAGGTGGATAGCTGTATCAATTGATTAATTGCCAATCATACCACATCTCCTTATCTTATATGCATATATATTATATAGTTTTCGCACAACCACAGGTCCAAAAGCCCAGACTTGTAAAAATGCTGTCAGGTCTGTAAAAATCATCTCTACAGGCTAATAGAATTTAACTAAAATTTTCGAAAAAATTCAAATATGGGCCTGTAGATTCAAGTTTATCATGAAGATTGTAATATATCTAGAACAGAATGGGTAGAAAGCCGATCAAGTTGTGTGTTAACTATGGAAGGGTTCAAATTCCTGTGAACACAAAAATGACTTTGACATCTCTAATCACAACAAATATTACATAATAAATAATAATTATTAAATGATCAAACCTGTTGTAACAAATCTTCCTTTTCAGCAGTCTCTTCCTCCGTCAGAACATCAGAATTGTCTATTTTACCCTGTTCCTCTTTCCTTACTCTCTCAGCATCAGAGCCTAAATCTGGATTCTTTGGTACCTGTTAAAGAAATATTTGAAATGATAATAGTCTATATGAAACAAACCTACCCCTTTGATATTCAAAGGATTTCTAAAAAAAAATGGACTTCTTTAAAACATCAGTTTTGATTTTTTTTTTATTGCTGGGAAATGTATTTACAACCTATTGCATTTGAGGCAGGCACCTTGCCAAGATTATTACTAAAATTAGATACCTCACACTAATTTCTCAGCATATGTATTTTAAATCAAATTAAAATTTGTCAAAAATCAAAGGTACTCTTTACATAAATCTAGTTAAAGCAAAACAAATGAGAGAAAGTTGAATTTCTTAACATTCTTGAAATTTTACAAATAAATAATGTTTAAAGTATGATAGGTAAATAAATGAAAAATTCTGATTATAAAAGATTCAAATACACAAAAGAAAGTCACCTATGTGGATTTTAGCCATATCAGCTATTAATATATAAAATTTAGCTATCCTGTCAAATTTCTTTGCACAAGGAAACCTGCCTTTGTATCTTTATTTTAATATATATTGTTTCACTTCTACTGGTTTAATGATAGTCTAGTTTTTAAAATGGATAGTTGTATTACTCTCAAAATGCTATGTATTTATACTTACCCTATAACTAATGGATTTACGGAAAAAGTATATTTCTTGATCCAACAGTTCAAACAATCGTGGAGGGAAGAACTGGAAGTCCTGTACATTTGGTTGTTTGGGTGGTCTAGGAGCCTGGAAAAGTGAAAGTATGATGTAAACTTTGTTAGCATATTTACAGTTTGAAAGTAAACATCAAGTGATAAAAAGTTCAGGGACAAAACAAATCTAACCCTGACACCAAGGACCAATTCTCTTTACACACATGCTCAAATCACTATAAAATGAATTGGAGAATAGGATATTAAAAAAATATAAACTCAAAGAAATAAAAAGTCTTAAATTATTTTTCTGTTATTATTTTGCAGCTTCAATATGCATATATACTACACATCTCCT